TGATTATTTTTGGTTATGGCTGAATACTAAATAATGTCTGCATAATCATTTTTAAATGTTAATTTGCCTTCTATCTTAAATAACATTTATTGGTTTTCCCCTAAAATAATTTCTAGGCAATTAATGTATATTTGGAAGGTCTTTATATTGTATCATTTACACCACCTAGGACACTGCTAAGTACAGAATAGGTTAGTAATAATTGCTGGCTGATTAATTTGTTTGTAAGTTTGTATAATTAATTGTTTATACAGTTGTCTACATTCAGTATTATAGTTGCATATGCAAGCAGGTCGTCCTTACATTTATTCCTCTGAAAAACATACACATTTCTGCATTGTCTTATTAGACAGATGAAAATAACATCCAGAAACGGGCTGTGTGGCAAATACCACTTTGGGGAAAGTTCTTTAATTTGATCACCTTTTTACCCCTATAATCAACTCAATTTACACATTTAAATAACTTAAGACTTAGAAATAATTTTCAGACACTTAATCCGATCCAACTACCAATAAAAAAAAATCAGATTAAAAGATAATACGCTTCCACATAAAAATGTCCTTATTAAACCTGTAATAGCTTTTTCTGAACATCAAACTGAAAGGTGAAAGTTAATTTACACATCGCTGACATTTATTAAAAGATATGGTAAAATCCATTTTTAACATTTGTATCTATATTTTTAGGTTGATTTCTTTGAAAACCCACTCCATTTTTAAAATTTTCTCATTTATGATCTAAGCCTATATTACATTTAATAACCCTAAAAATTGCCATCAGCAACTTCAATTCAACAGATGATAAACTTTACAGTTTTTACAGCTGTTACAGAGCAACAAATGTAATGGAAATAATCTACACATTCACATAAATTGAGACAGAATCTTGCATACATGCGTGCACACAAACAGACCATTACAACTAATGCTGCAGGGTGGAGCTTGGACAGGAGCACTTAGTGCTGTCTCCAAGAGTGCCTCTGCAATGCAGCTGCAGGGACCACCTGGGCACCTGAGCACCTGAAGCTTCGGAGAAAAGTGAGGATCTTGGCCGCATGGCCTCCCCAACTTCCCTCTGGAGAAGCCAGAGAGAATCACCCCTGTCAGAAATATATCCTAAAATAGGGAAGTCGTTTAATCTTCCTCTGGATCCGCAGTCGGATTTTTTTTTTTTTTTTAATTTTCTCAGCTATTCAGTATTTTGTTGGAAGAACAGGGCGACAGTTACCTAATATTATTAATAATTATTATTACTTGTGGCCTTCAGATAATACTGGGCAGAATCATCTAAAAAGACTGATGAAATTGATTGCAGATGCTAGTCATCATAAATACCAGCACACAGGTGTCGCTGAAAAACTCTATCAAAAGGTGAAAATTCTTTGCTGAGTTATGACAGGACCTCAAAATCTAGAGAAAAAGGGACAGGCAATCAGAGCTACATGGATCCAGGGTTGCAAGGAAGTGTTTATGAGCTCAAAAGAAAATAAAGACTTCTCTACCATGGTATTATACACCGAAGAAGGCAGAAACCAACTGTCTTGGAAAACAAAGTTTTTCAGTATGCTCATGACCATTAGCTGGAAGACATGGATTGGTTCATGAAAGCAGATGATCATATATGTACATATATATATACATATCACACTGGACAACTTGAGATGGCTTCTCACAAACTATAACCCTGATGAAACCACTTATTTTGGGAGAAGATTTAAGCACCACAGAAAACAGGACAACATGAGTGGAGGAGCAGGATATGTACTGAGCAAAGAAGCCTCTAGGAGATTAACTGATGCAGTTAAAATGAAAATGTGTACACCTATGTCCTTCTCTGAATACATGGCTCTGGAGAGATGCATAGACATTGTAAAGGTGGAACCAGGGGATTCCAGAGATCACACTGGAAAAGAGACTTTTCATCCCTTTTTACCAAAACAGCCATTAATTACAGGTTTTCTACCTAGAACCTTTTGGTACTAGAAATATAACTATTATCCTTCTATAGAGGGTCTCAGTTGCTGTTCTGATTTTGCAATTTCTTTTTACTATGTTGATGCTACTGCTATATATGAGTTAGAATACTTCATTTATCATCTTCATCCTTATGGTTATTTATACAGATTTCAACCTGCCTTACCTGAGGATCTATTAAAGAAAATTATCAAAGCAAACAAAAAAGAAGATCCAAAAGTAGACGTAAGAATTCCTCAAAAGAAACACGTGAGAAAACAAAGATAGCATGACTAACATTGCAGGGAGGAAAGGTCTTCCCATCTTGGAAGAGAACACTAGGGTCCCAGTGAGCAATTCTTCCTAAGTGAACATTCCATATTAGAAAGCTTCATAGCAGTGACTGTAAACTAAAGCATTAGCAGGAGCAGTGATCCACCAAAATTTGTTAGGATTTATTTCCATTTTTTAAACAACTCTTTATATTAACGTGGACACCAATTTATTTACTTGTGCTTTCTTAAACTGTAAGTGCACATCGTTTCTGTTAAACATCTAAAAATATCTTTAAACGTATACGCAGGAAGTTAACATGCAGGCAGCATCCTTGAGCAATTTGCTTGAGCTCTGTGTGCCCCCATTTCCTCTCCTGTAGTTAGAGATAATAATGGTACCCACCTCACAGGTTGTGTGTGAGGATTATGAGCTAACATATGTAAGGTTCTTAAAGCTGTATCTGGCCCACAGTAGGTAGTCAACAAATACAAGCTTTTATTATTATGCTATTGCCCCAGGTATAACAATTAGAAAAACATACTTTAATCAAATCAGATGCTAATTCAGATCAGGTACTAAATCAAATCCGATATCTGATTTAATCAAATCATATATTTTTGCATTTTATATAACATATAATAGCATTTATTGAGTGCCTACTGTACACCAAGCATTATAGTTGGGCAAAATACCCTTATGTCTCTAGAAGTGGATATGACCTCATATTACGGATGATGCCTGAGGATCAGATGACTTGAGCAACTTGCCCCATGTTACAAAGATGGTAAATATCAGAACTAAGGTTCATACTTTAAACCTTGTATGTTTTCAGCATGCCAGGCTTAGGGTTAGTGAGTTAGAATTATTTCCATCCTCACACATCATGAATATGGCATCAGATAAGTCCAATGATAGTGAAAATTAACTTGACAGATTTTCACATTGGTTCTCCAATTGTGATTTTCAAACTCTCTCCTGGGTATTTGTTCAAATGAAGCTCTCAGAGACCCCAATTTCAGAAATTCTAGTTCTAGTATGGGGTGCATAGGTGCCTTCCAGATGCCTGAAGTCAGTGGTTCTCAAAGTGTGGTTCCAACCAGCAGCAACAGCAAGAGTGTCCAGGAATTTGTTGGAAATGCAAATCTTTAGACTCCATGCCATACTTACTTAATAAAAGCTCTAGAGACTGATGCCAAAACCAAGGTATTAGCAGGCAGTCCAAGTGAGGCTTCTTCTTGCTAAGGTTTGGGAACCATTTCCCTGGGCAGTTCTGATGCAAAAGATCCTTCAACCACACTGAGGATTACTGACCATTAGGTTAGAAATTTTTCAAAAACTTAAAGCATGTTTTAAACCAGCGCAGTACAAGATTACACTATATTAAATGTAAAATATATATTTTTTAATTTTTTTATTTTTAGAGGTGTCTTGCTCTGCCACTAGTGGCATGATCATAGCACCCTGCAGCCTCTAACTAACTCCTAGACTCAAGTGATTCTCCCACCTGAGCCTTCTAAGGAGCTAGAACTACAGGAACCCAGCTATGTAAAAGACTTTGGAGACAATTTTACTTAAAGGGTAAGGGAACATTCATTTTGGCAAAATTATTTAACTTCTCATTTTTTCCCACATTCTCAGTTGATATGTTAATATTAATTCCAGAATGACTAATACTTGGGGCATCAGTAAAATCTATGTCTTGGAGGTTAGAAATTCTACTTTGGGGCAGGAGGGGCATTTTAAAGCACTACATCTATATGAATTCATTAAAATATATATAAATAAGTTTCATCTAAAAATATCCACAGTTATTAGTTAAAAATTTAAACTGTAAAATTTTAAAAATAAAAATTTAAAAAAGGTTGGGCGCGGTATCTCACATCTGTAATCCCAGCTCTTTGGGAGGCTGAGGCAGGTGGATTAAGAGGTCAGGAGATTGGCACCATCCTAGCTAACTTGGTGAAACCCCATCTCTACTAAAAATACAAAAAATCAGCCGGGCATGGTGGCATGTGCCTAGTCCCAGCTACTTGGGAGGCTGAGGCAAGATAATCTTTTGAACCCAGGAGGTGGAGGTTGCAGTGAGCTGAGATCACACCACTGCACTCCAGCCTGAGCATCAGTGAGACTCCATCTCAAAAAAATAAATAAAATAAAATAAACAGAGATAACTGTAAGAACAATTTAAAATTAAGAGGCTTATCTGTTGATAAGAAAGGGAGATACATTTTTTCCCTCTCTTTTCCTATAAAACATGTAATATTAAGTGTTTTTTCTGGGTCTTTGAAATGTGTAAATCTTTCAAGAAGCTAAATAAGCCTCTTGCCAGCTTTTTGACCCAGAAATATTTTTCTCAAGGACCTGAGAGCCATCTCTTTGAAATGTAAACATCAAGGGAGATGTTTATTCCTGTTTCCCAGTTTCTGTGCAAAAATGGGAGCTTAACATCAGGTATGCAACTCACTCCTGCTGCAAAACAACTTCCTTTTATAAAGAGAGGAAAAATGTATTTTTCTTTATATAAAACCAACTAACACAGGTGATTACTCCAAGTTCCTGGTTAATTTAGGATGAACTATTTAATAAATGCTACAGTCAAATTCTCTTATTTGAGGACTAGTTTTTGCATATCTTGAAAACATGTGTGTTACGGATTGTATCTCATAGGCTATATAAAAGAGTGAGATTCCTTTCTGTCTTTGTAATCTCTTACTGGATTGTCTGTGATGCCCATCACATTCTAATTTAATGCTTATTCAATAATAGAACTGTTTTTTCTCTCTACTACTGGGAAAATATTTTTCTTTTAATCAACTATATTGCGCCAACATAGCAAAACACTCTTTTGTAATATGTAGATGTTTCCCGCTAATTAATATTATCAATGAAAACCTTCATCACTTTCAAGAATCAGTTGACTTTCCTATATAACCTAATAAAGCAAACAAAGCAAACTACAATTCTCATGAAGGACATAAAACCAAGTTTCCTGATAGTGATATTTTATTTACCATCTCTTGGAAATAGAAGATGTTTGTCACTTGTATACATAATTTTAGTGTGGTCTCAAGACAAAAGGCTTTTGCTGCCTTTGGTTTCTACTAACAATAGACATCTATGTTCTAGTAAAAAGTGCATAAATTAAGAAGTAGGTTTTTGTCTCAGAGTTCATTTACTATCAACTACCTTGAGTTACTGATGTCATCTAGATACTGTAATAAAATTCAAAGTAAATTAGTAATATATATTTAATATTAACATACGATCATTGGACTTTAGCACTGAATTTTTCAAGTGGTTATTTCAACTTGAGTAATATTTATTGAGTATTATTCATAAATTAAGTATAGTTTTTCATTTCCGTAAGCCTACTGTTGCAGTAGGTAGTCAGGCAGACATGAGCAGGGCAGAGAAGGGCACCCCCGACACACCAAGAATGTCAGGCCATCAGTTCACGGTCAGGTGAACTGTCTCTCTAAAATAATAATTGGTCACAGCAGCACTGGGAAAGGCAGTCTCCCAATAGATGGAAAAACTTGAAACTGGTGATCACCTTTCCGATAAGATCTCAGGAGTTGGGCCAACAGGCATGTGCTCTAAGAGGTAAAACGGTGGCATTTCAGTGGTCTATGACCTTACTCTGGGAACACCGGACAGATAAAGGAATGCATGAGCATTTGCACAGTTTTTGTAAACACTGTGCCTGTGGCCACTCCCAAGTGCTGGCAGGCCATTGCACATGTAGACAGCCCATCCCAAGGGAAAAGTCAGGGGAGAAGTAACGCCAGACCCCAAAAGTGTGCCAACATATAAAACCCCAAGTCAAAAGGTCAAACCATGCATTTGACTCTCACGTCACCTGCTTCACCCTCTTCTATGTGTACTTTATTTCTTTTCATTCCTGCCCTAAAACATTTAAGTAAGCTTTCACTTCTGCTCTAAACTTGCTTCAGTCTCTCATTCTGCCTTATGCCCCTCAGTAGAACTCTTTCTTCTGATGAAGCAAAAACTGAGGTTGCTGCAGACCCATATGGATTAACTGCCACTAACAGATTTCGGTACCGTGTGACTCAGATATGTCCCATCACTAACATACTTCGTTACCACATGACTCATACATTTCACAGTGGCAAGACACCTTTCCACCTCACCTTCTTTGGCTGGAGGACTTCGAAAACCTTATGTGGTTTTCCTTCTCCCTTTTGCTCTCTTGCTTACTAACCAACCTTCAGAAAGATTCCTCTCAGCCACAAAGGCTCTGCTCCCCCTGGCTCTGCCAGCTCCTAATGACTTATCATACACTTTCTGTCCCTATTATGGCCCGGGGCTAAGTTTTTCAGTGACTTTTGAAGCACTTTGTCTGCCTAAATAGGGCCTCACTCTGTGGCCCTTTAAGGACCCTGTCTACTTGGTTTTTTTGAGTTACCGCCCCTTTGGGAGGAGGGAAAATTCTTCCTTTGCTATTTATGAACTCTTAGCCCAAGCTGTAAGTCCTCTGCAGGTTACTACTTTACATCAAAAGGACAAATAAACATTGCCCTCTTGAATCCGAGGGCTGCTGTTTTTGTGAGCATAGGAAGGCTTTCCATGAATATCCCTCTCACTTCCTCCTGTGGCCTCCATTTCTCTAATCACTTCCATGCCCTTCTCAATACTCATCAAGACCTTCAACATTCTATTCCAAGGGAAGGAAGTTCATCCGCCTTGCAACAGTTAACTGAAAAACAGGCTTCTCATCTAGTGAAAGAACATAGGAAATAGGAATCTGAGAAAGGAGATAATAATTTTGTTGCTAGAATGCTCTGAGCAAGAGTCACTACAAGGTCATGGAGGCACGAATAGAAGCTGACCTATATCCTTACCAAATAGGTAAGGCCTGGAGACATACAGAGTTTTCTGCTATGGGTTGCATCTCTTAGGCTATGTAAAAGAATGAGATTCCTTTCCGTCTTTGTAATCTCTTACTGGATTGTCTGTGATGCCCATCACATTCTGGTTTAATGCTTATTCAATAATAAAACTGTTTTCTTTCTCTGTTACCTTCAGGAAGAGGATTTGGGGGTTAAGAAAAGATTTTGCTTTTCCTAACATAGGAAAACCCATATGTATATGTTTTCTATGAATTAATACTATCAATGAAAAAATTCATCACTTTCAAAAATCAGTTAACTGTCCTATACAACCTAATAAAGCAAACAAGAAAAATCCAAATCTCATTAAGGTATGCTAGACAGAGTCAAACCTCATCTGCACTTTCATCTAGTGTCCTAAGCTCCGCAATCTAGTACATAGAGTCTTACCAGGTTTTTCATCCAAAGTAAAAGTCACCAAGAGTTAACTGTGTAACATGTACTTGAGACTACTACAAAACAATTTTGTATGCAAGAAATGTAAGGAAAGTAAAAAGTGCTTTTCGTAAAATGTTTTAAGAAAGCATGGGAATATGGATTTTTGGCCAAGTTTAGAGGGTTAAAGGATTGTTTTAAGTTAGGTAGGATAAAGCTGAAGGTTTAAGCAAAATGTGGAAGGTTTGTGAAAATTTTTATCTTGTAAAATAAAATCTGTATGTAAACATATGAGCTAAAATGTAAGGGGTATTATTCAGTTTTTCTATAAATTGAACATTGGAATAAAAGCACAGCACAGTTTTCTCAAAGCACTGTTTTGCATTTTTTTTTTTTTCCCCAATGGAGTTTTGCTCTGTTGCCCAGGCTGGAGTGCAATGGTGTGATCTCAGCGCACTCTGCCTCCCGGGTTCAAGTGATTCTCCTGCCTCAGTAGCTGCCATTATAGGCACCCACCACCATGCCCAGATAATTTTTGTATTATTAGTAGAGATAAGGTTTCACCGTATTTGCCAGGCTGGTCTCGAACCCCTGACCTCAGGTGATCCACCCACCTCGGCCTCCCAAAGTGTTAGGATTACAGGCATGAACCACCACACCCAGTAATTCGAAACATAATTTTTTCATAATATGTTTTTCATAATTTGTGCACCTGGCCTTGTTCTGCTCTTTAATAGAAAATTGTAAAGGGTTATAAAAGGCTTATGAGAATCTTACCTTATGGTCAAACTGACTTAAGATTTGAAGATTTGTCTATAAGGTTTTATTAAGAACTGAGTTTGATATCAATAGTACACTAATGCAAAGGTAAAAATCTGACTTTCTTTAGACTGTTTTTGTATAAATGTATTTTGTATATGTTCCAAAGTTACCCAAAACTCCTCTAATTCTGATATGACTTAGTATATGTCATCAATAATAATTATAACTGTTATGTTAAATTATTGTGTACTTCAGAGGTAACAAATTTCCTTTCAATTGTGTCTTTGACTGTGGCTGCCCTTAGATATTTGTCATCCATATGCAAATATTGTCAAACAAAACAATATTTTAATCCTCTTTAAAAGGGGATTTTATAATCAGCTGTATGCTTAACTGCAGATTTCTGATAACTTTGGGGATTGACATTAGAATAAAGGAAAAACATTCTGGACTCTCATGAAAAGTTGAAATGTTCATGAACATCAAGCAGAACAGGAGTTAACAGCATGGACTGAACTAATGAAAGACTGAAATAATTATTTTATATAAACTTTTTGTTTAAAATGTTGCTGATCCTTAGTGTGTTTTTCAGAGCCATGAAAGCTTTTGAGCTACTTATAGCTTTTAACAATTCAGTAAAATATACTCCTATACACAAAACTTAAAGCATATTTGTTTCTCTCTACCTGATGTCTCCAGAATTTGGAAACAATTTGTGAGTATTCTTAAATTATGGCAATATAATTATTTGCATAAGTGCAATAACGATCTGTTTTCTTTGCAAGAGGACACAGTTTGAGAAACTGGATACTTTACCAAAGCTTTCACTGGAATGGTATGCTTTCCTTTAAGGAATCCAATTCAGCTTACAGAGTCAATAAAACCCCTTGGGAAACCTAATCTCATACTTGGTCTACACAGTTCCTGTACAGGATCCTTGACCTGTGTTAAGTGAAGAATATCACTTTCTAAAAGGCCCAAAAGCCCCAAGTTATCATCTTGGGACCCTAAGAGGAGAGGAATTTATCCCCTTTTTAAGGCTTTACAAAAGTCTTATCTAAGATCTCTTATGGAGCAAAGTTCTATGAATACCAATTTTAAAAGGAGCCTATATGGCAAATAATTATTTTTGCTGTGTTTTATGCAAATAATCAGCCAAATAATAAGACTAAAGCTTATTTTGCAAACAAATCCGTTTCATCATTATTTGCTTTTAATAGAAATGAGGACTGGAGAGAGAAAAATTATGTTTCAAAAACTATGGTACATTTCTTACTAGATTCTAGACTCATCAATTGTTTTTGAGCTTTTGTCTGGAATTTAACCCTGCTTATCCCTGTGAACCAACCAGTGATGGCTGCCTGCAGCTCAGAAGAAACAAAAGAGATAGGTAATGTAAAATTGTAGGTCTAGCTTTTCTTCCTCATTTAGACTTTTTGTTCATTTAACAATTTAAATATTTTTGTTTGCAGTCCTCTTTTACTGCCTTCATAATTATTTTCCATTTTTTACTCTTAGTGCTGCCTTCACAAGATTAATTTGGGTGCCATTAGTATGATTAGAATTTGTACAACTAACTGACAACTTTTTAACAATAAACTTTAGGTTTCACTATGAGATTGAAAGTAAAAAGATCTCTTAAGAAAAATGCCTGCTGGAATGTAGAATGTTTGCCTACCTTAAAAATCTACGATTTTAAATTAATTCTAGATAGACAATCACTAAAAAATAGAGATTTTCTCCTGCCTTCCTTTTCTTTCAAAAAAAACAAAATTCATTTGTTTCATTTATCTACTTCTTTATATAGGTATTTAGAAATACACTTAAGGAAACTAGAGGGCAAGTTGTGATTTCATTTATGCAAAATGTAGCTTCTACTGCTTTTAAAAATAGAGTTATAAATTTATAAATCAAAATTGAAACAAAAATTTATCACATATTGGTATAAGAAATTTTACAAATTCTCCTTAGATAAACCAAATATAAAACCAGCTTTAGAGTTGAATTGTGCTACATTTCAACTCTCTTACCTCTGGTATTCAGTTTATATTAGTAAAATTTAAATAACTTTTCTAGACCCTGAAAATTAATGGTCTATATTTACCTAACATATTTTTAGAGAGAAATTTATTTTGCTGCTAAGCAGTGTGTTATACAACACAGTGAATGTTTATGTGTTGGAATTTTTTAATATGCAGTTTTATAGCACCACAAATGTTTTTAAAGACTCTGGGGATTTGCTCGTTTTTAGAGAAAAAGTATTTTTTAGAAATGTTTTTAAGTGTCTTTTGGTTGTTTTTCATCAGCAAGTTTAAGCTACTGCATTGAATAATTAGCATGATAAAAAATTTAATGCTACATGAAAGAATTTTTAACTGTATATTAGATTAGGCAAATCACACACACACACACACACACACACACACACACACACACACACACAATAAAATAAACTCCAAAAGAGACATGGTTGAAAATGTCTGCATTGTAAGTGTATACATGGCTGTCTGTACACAAGTGATAGTCCCTGGGAAATAATAAAAGTGAGTATTTCGTCAACTCACTTGCAGTGAAATCAGTTCCTAAACTGTAGGTTTTAAGCCATATATTTCAGAAAAACCAGAATGTAAAATGTAAAGCAGGAAGCAAACAGATTTTGAAATATGTAATAGGGATTTCATTCACATTGTTGTGGTAATATTTCTTAGAAGTTTAAGACATCTAGCTATAAGCTTAGTGTCTTCAAAGTCAAAATACCATCTCATATAATTCTGTAAGAAAGGCTGTTAAAAGACTCTGCAAAGGCAAGATATCATGTACCAGTTTTGTGAAATTCCTTGGAGACAAAACCGGATGTTCTAGATTTGCCAAAAGGTCAAGAAATTTAAAAAAAAGAAGAAAAGAAAATAAGGAAAAAAAAACTTATAAATATGTTTATACATTATCTTTTTAAGCCAGTTACTAAGCCAGATTCTGGGAAAACTGAACATAGTAGCGAAGTCCTGACCTTATACAGCAATGAAAAGGATAATTAAAACAGCCCTTCTGATTAAGTGCTGTAATGCAATGAATGACAGCAGACATACAGGTGCAGTGGGAGTCATGGCAAGAACTCCTGACCTGGTTTGGAGGAATGGTTGGGAATCTAGAAGGACTTTCTGGAGGAAGGGGAATATAGGCAGATACCTGAAGGATGAGTGTAAGTTCACAAGGTGAAGAGAAGAGGGAGGACTCTTTCAAGCAGAGGAAGTAGCTTATGTGAAGACTTAAGAGGTAAGAGAGAGCACAGGGCCCCCAAAACTCAAACTTCAATAGGGCTGGAACCTACATCCATTAGATTGTTGAGAGGCAAGCAATGAACCTGAAAATATAGGTGGATATGACAGGTGGAACATAAAAAACAGACTACATAACATCAAAGAACATCCACCTAAGGAGGACTAAAAGCTTTCGGGATTGATATTTCAGAGACTGCTATATGCACGATAGACTGGAGGAATGCAAGTGAGGTAGGCAGATGGCTTGCAGAGGTTTGTGGTGGAGAGGGAATGAAGTTGATAAGGCTGGGGTGGATTTAGAGGTAGAATTCTCAAGGCCTGAAGAGAGACTAAATGTGCAGAGTGAGGAATAGGAAAGAGTAAAGAATCAAGGCGATTCTCAGATGTCGGATTTAGGCAGCTGTATGCATGGTGGTACTGGTCACTAAGAAAGAAAACATCAAGGTAAGAGTAGTTTGAGTTTGGCATGTGGATAAGTTTTGTGCATGTTGAGTTGGAGATTCCTGTGAGCCTTCTAAGTACTGATGTCTGGAAAGTGCTGGATCTGTGGATCTGGAGCTCAGGAGCAGAACCCAAAGGAGATGAAGATCTGGGCATCATCAGATGATGGTTGGTGATTGAAATCTGAGTGATGTCTCCCCCAAAAAATATGTGTTGTCAGAAGAGGACTGACCTTGGAAGAACCCTACAGAGCACTGTAAATGTGTGATCATCAGAGAAAGAAGGTCCTGTGTCTAAGCCCATATTTCCTGTGGGGAGTCTGGGTTGGGGGTTGCTGAGGGGTGTGTCATAGCAGGACAGTAAGAATAAGAGATAAATAAAAGTGAGATAGGAAAGGCAGGAAAACAAACACATGGTGATGTGCTACATAGTTTGCCACAGCCTCAAAAGAAACACAGTGTGGTGTTTGGTTATACAAGACATCTCCAAAGAGATTTTGTGTAAGCACTGCCCTTGGAAATAGTCTCCTGGGCAGAAAAAGAGTGTGCAGTGTCTCTTCCGGCTCTCTCTTACTTGCTGCCTTTCATTGACCACTCCGGCTCCCTGTGCATTGCTTTCCTGTATTTCTTGGTTATGTTAACCAACCCTTCTAGGTAGCTATCAAGAAAGGAAAAGCCTCTATGGGTGTATTTAGCACTAATCCTGGTAAGAACTTCTAGTACTCCCTATACAGTGGGCACAGCAGAGGCTTTCTGAAACTTCAACACTGGGGGATCAGAAACAGGTGTTGGCATGAAGAGATGCAGTCCTGGTGCAGGACCTGGAGTTCTGCAAATGATTAAATGAGGTAGCTTTCATTTGGCCTCTCTAGCTAGGAGTCAAGCTGAATGGGTGAATCCATTTCTAAAAG